TTTCAAAAATACAGTAAACTCATAGATACTGACAAAGCTATATATCAACACAAAATTATACATTTATATATTTAAATCCACAACTTTTAATTCCGTATTATATTGGATTGGATATACCTGAAAAACACATCAGTTTGATTTTTATACTTTAGCAGAAGTAGTTTTATGCAGCCTGACACCCAACAGGGGAAAAAAATCAAATTTTACAGAAGAAATGAATGTAGAATTTTTCTCTTCCCTTTTAAAAAACTTAAGAGGATTGCTATTTAATAGGCTTTGATACAAAGAAAGCCTATTATAACTTTCTTTTTAACAGCCCAAGTTCAAGATCTTAAAACTATAAATAAACAGGACTGATATTACAGGTAGTCCTCACTTAATGACCACCCTGTTTAGCAACTGTTTGAAGTTACAACAGTACTTAAAAAGTAACTTTACACTGGTCCTCACACTTTACAACTGTTGCAGCATCCCTGTGCTCACGTGATCAAGATTTGGGCACTTCGCAACTGAAGGGCATTTATGACCATTGCAGCATCCCACAGTCACATGATCAACATCTGCACACTTCACAGCTGGCTTCCAACAAGGAAAATCAATGGAGAAGCCAGCAGCAAAATCGCAAGTCACACTCACATGATGTCTCATTTAATGACCCCAGCAGAAGTGAGGTTGTAAGCCTATCACAGTCATGTGATGTCTCTCTTGATGATGTGTCACTTAGCGATAGTTGCCAATCCCAATTGTGGTCGTTAAGTGAGGACTACCTGTAATATAAAATTTGGTATACGTACGGTTGCCTTTCATTGGGTTTTGAAGCCTTGTGAAATTATGTCTCAAGAACACGTATTCTGGCAAGGCTGCAGGTTCTATCCTCTGAAAAGTTATTGTTTTAAATTAGCTGAAATGAATGTGCAAACTAGAGGTGAAGACAATGCTTATTTTTTACATGATGATAGTATTTAAATACACAATATATATTTTGTAGATTTGAAAAAAAAAATAATTACAATAAATGTTCCTAGCCCTTATGCAAATCACAAGAGGTTCATAATACCACTTGTAAGTATTTAATCACTCTCTGCTAACAGTGATAAGCACGTCTTTTCTCCACTCTTGGAGAAGGGGTGGGCTATTACCCTCATAGTCAGTGAACAGCTTCCAGGAACTTCAAAGCATAATGTAAAATATGTAATCTTTTTTTAATTTGGAGCTGGAAGGTGAAAGGTGGTGAAGGAGCTTCTGAAACATAATGAAACCATTAGTATAATCCCTGCCTTCCTCCAAACCTGAAAAAATGACTGTGCCTTTAAATACGATAAACAGGGAAGGGCAGTGCAATTATGAAAACAATCTGTTCCCCCAAAATCAGATTTGGATGGAAGGGAGAGAGAACTGGGGATTCTGACTGAGTTTGGATTAATACAATATAGAATTAGGAGGAAAAAAAAAGAGGACAGATTTGTTCGGTTACTAAAAACAGCTCACATTTTTAAAATTTTGACCCTGATTTTTACAAGAATAGGCCTTCAAATCATAACTGAATGCTGAGAACAAAAGTCCTGTTAGGTCAGATAGAAGTCCATCTAATTCAACAACCCGTTTTTCACAGTAGGCAATTAGATCCCTCTGGGAAGTCTGAAAGCATGGGATGAAGGCAACTGCCCACTCCAATTCCCTTTGCTGCATATAAACATCTCCTATTTATAAGTCAGCTTCCTGCAGAATAGTAATGTTTTATGTAGAACAAGATTCCTAACAACTGAGATTAGAATATAAAATCTATCTTTTTTTCCTTGAACAATATTCATTGAGAGCCTGTAGGAGACCCCAAGTACACAAGTATATAAAATAGTTGCCTGAACAAACAAAGTTATTTAGATCTCATAACAATGACCAGAAGGAAAAAATATATATTTTTAGTCTGCACATCACTAGAAGGAGACAAGACTCAGTGGAAAAGTGTCCATCCTACAGTTTGATACATAGAGAAAGACAAGCAATGCTTCTCAAATTGCACTATTCATTATTTTCAACTTACATAAAACATTATATTATTTACATTACTTAAATAATGTAATAAGTTAAATAATTACATGTTAACATTTTGGAATACACATTGCCCAAAAGCTCAAATTCAGAATTACAAAATATACAGAACACTACTGTGTGGTCCTAACTCACGCTGTACCTCTTACCTGAACATTGCCATGGGCTCGGGTGATGATGTCAATGCTCTCTCCACTTTGTTTATACTCAAGAATGCAGGCATTATATTTTGCTGTCAAAATAAAGAGCAAATCCTTGCTTTCCCCCTGAGGAGGAAAAAAAAGTTTCAGCTAGGAAAGAAAAACCCTCAACATTCTCCAACGCATAGCAACAAAATATTATCCTATTTATAAAATGTGTAACTTAATTTTTTAAAGACTCAAATGAAAAATGTCTGAAATAGATGCTTTTGCTCTTCACAACTTCCTATTAGTTCTATATCAAGTATTTTCTTCTGTAACTGCACATAAACAGATAAGCTTCTCCAAAACGTATCTGATCAGAAAGTATGCTAATCAGTTTCATGTGAATACTATATGGCTTCACCAAAGAACATCTGAAGCACCACAGTTGCCGATGTTCAAGAGACTTGCAGCAAATAGATGCAATACATTTTACCGCAAACATTAATCAAATAGCTAGCCAGACAGCATAGTTGTTTTTCAAATAGACTTATAAGAGCTGGTTGAGAAAATGATTGTTGAAAACAATGCTTCACATATCTATGTCCTTTCCCTCAAGTACCAGCCCTAGATAGAGCAAGTTCCCAGTTTTGTTCAATTCAACAGCAGTCAAGGATAATATATCGGAGTAATGGTAATTTTCCTAGTCCAATCATGACCATATCAAAAATGAATCAGCCAGAGAAAAATACTCAGTCCACATGACAGGCCCACGCACATTAGCTCACAATAGACTGGCTGTGTGCAATCACCACAGCGTGCTAAATTCCAACAGGCCACCAGTCCTGAAAATAAGCCTTTGCACTCAAATACGTGCACTTTTCAAAGGCATCTTCACAATATAAACAGAACACTGGGTTGAAATTTAACAAAAGAATGCCACTCCAATTGGCTAGCAAGACGCAAGGCCATGTTTCTACTGTGATCTAGAGTTCACGTTCCTCATAGAGATGAGATCCAGGGGGGATCCATAGAGAGGAGAGTGACAGGGGGTTTACCAGCATGAGGAGCGAAATCAACAAAAAGCGCCAACCTACTCTGCTGCGGGAACTCCTCCCTGGGCAGGGAGCCGCACGGGTTCGAGGAATACCCGGCCCAAGGAAAAGAGCGCCCACCGACCGCACTGCCCCTCGGGAGGAGGCGATGCTCACCTTCGGGCGGAAGAGCTCCATGACCGCGATCTTGCCGTACATGCCCACTTCCTTGACGGGCCGCAGCCCTTCTGCGGTAACCACATAGATCTCAAGGCGGGTGTTCTTGGCGATCAACAAGTTGAGGTCCTCCGCGGAGGTGAAGTGACCTGGGGCGGAGACAAAAGGTCGCCAGGTGAGGGCAGTCTGACTGCAGAGCCAAGAGCCAGAGGAGCGCAGGGCCCCGCGGCCTCCTCCTCCGTTCATTCTTCCCCGCCATCGCGCTCTCTGCCGCCCGCCCACCGAATCTGGGAAAGACCCCTCCTCCCACCATTACCGGTGACGCAGCTGTTGACGGCCGTGGGCTTCTGTGCGGTGACCACGTAGTTGCACGACATGGCGAGGCCGGGAGCGAGGCCGACGACGCGGAAGGCGAGGGCTGGCGGCGCTGAGCGCAGCCTTGAAGGCCACTACCGCCTCTTGCACCAGTGAGAAACCGCCAGCACCAGAGCGCCGGCGTCCCGCTTCGCGCGGGCTACGACGGGAAACAAGCACGCCGAGAGGATTACGGATCCTAGTACCAGTGCGAGAGCGACCCCTTCCGGTCAGAAGGGGGTAAGCGAATTTAGGAGGACGGACGTTGCCCTTATCGCGTGCGCGCGGACGCACGTACCAAGATACCAAGACCCCAGTGGGAAACGAAGCTACGGTATTCTGTTCGCTGCTGGAAGGGGAAGAGGGGTAGAATGTTCGTAATAAGTTAGCGCAATCGCGCTTCGGGCTCCAGCACGAGCTTCCTCCTCTTCCCTCCTTCGCGGCGCGCCTTGTTCGGAGTACGTGCTCGCGGCAGTCGCCTCCCTCCTTCCAATAGCGCGTGACACGGCGACCCCCACAGCCAACTGCCAGAGCTCGCGCTGTTCTCTACCAATGAACTTCTTCCTTCCTTCCTTGTCAGGCGGTGCGCGCGTGTTTCAGACTCTGGCCAAGCGCAGTATTTGCATTCCGGATCAAAGTCCGTGGAGGGTCCCCGTGAACTCAGCTTGGTGTCCTCTTCGATCCGTTCTGTCGGAAAGGGTGGAAGAAAAGGTGGTTTTCTTTGTGGCGCCCAAGTAATTTGCTAGCTTCTGGAACCGGGACAGCATGCAGGTGAGACCTAATATTTCGGGGTGAGGAAGAAGACGGCGGTGCTTTAGTCCGGGGTTCTCAACCCTCTTTTGCTCATGGCCCCCTTCTGAGCCTCATTTACCTCTGTGATCCCCCTTTTTGTCACTGTTGGCTGGAAAAAAGGGACTTTGCCATCGGCACTAAATATTCATCTAAACTGTGGAGTCCTCGGGGTTCTCTGAGCTTGGTTGTTTTCTTGCAAACGTTTCGTTACCCGGCTAGGTAACATCTTCAGTGCTCCTGCCTACCGGTAGGAGGTCACAGTTCAACCCTGAGCTACACGTATTCTCTTCTATTGGTATTCATCTAAACTGTGGAGTCCTCGGGGTTCTCTGAGCTTGGTTGTTTTCTTGCAAACGTTTCGTTACCCGGCTAGGTAACATCTTCAGTGCTCCTGCCTACCGGTAGGAGGTCACAGTTCAACCCTGAGCTACACATATTCTCTTCTATTGGTATTCATCTAAACTGTTTTATATACAGGCTGTGGGCCCCTAGAAATATGGCATGACCCATGTTGAGAAACACTGCTTTAGCCAATCTTTCCTTTGTGTGAATTAAATCACCCGAATGTTAGTAATTATTAGAAATCCAGCTTATCTAGCACAGTTGATGGATAAGTTGGAACTTCTGGCTCTTTCCAACATGCTGCTTTGTCCAGTTTTCCATTATTAATGAAAAAGATAATTTTTTTCTAGCAGTTATTCATAACTGTTAACTGCAAAATAATAAGGAAACTGGCAGCAAGAGGCAATATTGAAGGAATCACAAGACAGCAGGAGTAGAAAACAAATGAGAAGGGGACCCTAAGAGGGTAAAATAAGAACAATGGAATGAAGCAAGGTGGGGCTGACCCATGCAGTGAACAGGAATATACCATATTGCAACAATTTGGTGTGAGTCTCATGTTCTGTATAAACAGTAACCAACAATGATGAAACACTTGGAAGATTCAGTAGCACTGGAGCAGAGTATGTACCATTATCAGATCTCAGATTCAGTGACTGCCCAAGTCATATGCTTGCTTGAATAATAGCAAATTGACCTGCTGTGTAAAAGTAACCAAAAGAACACGTACTTCATAGGTCAAAGGTTATAAGGAGACATTTTGGAACTTTTAAAATTGTGCAGCTGTGACCATATGAACTACTTGACATTATTAGAATGGAGCTTCAAACTACAAACTTGCTTGAAATTACTAGTAAGAGGTAAGTTTGCATAAAATTAGATGGAGAAACAGGGATTAGACAGAAGGAATTGCTTACACAGTCTAAACAGAATAGCAGTGCAGCATACAGGATTCATTGAATCTGCCTTCAATGTAACTGAAGGCAGATTCAATGAATCCTGTATGCTGCACTGTACTTCTAATTTTATATGTATGCTGTACTGTATGCTGCACTGTAATCCTGTATGCTGCACTGTAATTCTAATTTTAGAATTACAACCTAAGATTACATCCAGCTGTACAAAGGGTTAAATGCACCCTCTAGAGACCCTTCCATTATAATGTGACAGAAGAAATTAGATAAAATTACTGGAGAATATTATATTAGCAGTACTAATTTAAAGTTAATTATAAAATAACATCCATTTTAATGTTTCCTGGCCTTGCACTCTTCTTTGTTCTAGTCATGCCCACTTTTCAGAATTGGAAAATGTCACAGAAAGACAAAATACAACTCTTGGGTTTGTTCCTCACATCTGAGTTAAAGTACAATTCACTAGTCCTTGAGCTAACAGACAATTAAGCTAGCATAAAATTTGCTAGCCCCAGTGGTGATCCCTATCCTGCCACAAGTGTGATGCCGGCAAATGGTTTTGTCTTTATTTATAGGGTACAGAGCATTTTAAGGAGATTGACTGGTGGATTCTCCTGGCTCTGTTTCCTCCCTTATTACCAAATCACCAGCCAGCAGAAAAACACTCACCAATCAGTCTCCTTAATATGACTAGGAAGAAGATGAATTTTGATACATGACTAGAACACTGCTTAGCCAACTGTCAAAATTAGTTCTTGTTTTGTATGGGTATATTCAAAGGAAATCTGACTGTCATCTGATATTCAGGAGCAGCGCTAAACCCATGCCTAAAATGGCCTAATTATTAGCTCATAAGTAAGCTTGTTTTGGACACAGGTTTGGCATTATTCCAGAAGTGCTCTAAAGCTGTTTTCAAAATCAGCCCAACAACTGAAAGTGTGAGGGTGAATTTATGCCATGAAACAGCCATGAGAGAAAAACAGTTCGCTCCATGCAGTTCCTACACTGATATCACTAGTCAGCTGCTGCTCACACTGATCCAATTTTCTAAGCCAGAATTAGTTTGGAGATCAGGAGGTACAGGGTGAGGATCCAGGTTGAAAAACTAGATGCTTCAGTTGTTCAAAGCAGAATGATCCTGGGAGACAGTGCTCAGGAACTAAACGGGAGAGCTCATGCTGAGTGATCTCATCCCTTAGAGGTCTGTGACACCAACTAAATCATCAGCAAAGTGGATCAGAGTACACCCATTGCAAAACTGCTGTGGCTTGTTGCCAGCTTAAAAGGGAAAACACTACAGTATCTTAATAGCAGAATAGTTAATACAATTTTAATCTGCCTAAGTGATGGGTTGGGGACCAGATGAAGACAACATCATAAGGACATGGCAGGAAAAAAAGTTGCTGGGCCACCAGCATGGATATAGAGCAGTGCTATGGCTGGATTCACACTTTCCATGTTTTGTTTCCAAGCAAAAGTTGCCAGAATTCATACATCATTAATCATGGTTTATATATAACAGTAGCTGAGGCCATATGCAAACCACATTATGATGTAGCATGTTGTACATACTGTCAGCCCTTCGAGTTGGCCAGGTCAGGAAACAGACTCCACTAGGACTACTGTTGGGTCCTAGTGTAATGACAGAATCTTGAAAGCTTGACAGAGTTTTTCTCCCCCATCTTACACCAAAGAGAATCAAGGCGGAGTAAACATGAGTTTCTTGCTTCTTCCTCCCTTTTCAGACTAAACTAGTGTGTATGTAATGGCTGTTGAATACTTTCTTCAAGGCTGTCTCTGTACTCCTTTATAGCTACGTGCATTGTTTTTAGGGGTGTACATAAATTGGGAAATGTTTTCTGCATTAAAAAAATGTGTTTCAGATGTTTTGCAAATTGTTCTGGATGGAGTAGAACCAGAACCCAGAACATTTTGGCTGCCCTGGATTTTAATCAAGACAAAATCCAGAGGGGATGTAAGGTATAAATAGGTCAAGACTGATGAACTTGATATCTCACTCTTCAACATGGCCTGTGTATTGGTCAGCCCAATAATTTTCCCAGCTCCTTCATTTCCCCTTGCCTCCACTTAGCCATTGCAACCATTGTCTTCAGTTTCAAGTGTGGCATAACAAACCTGTTCCTCCCCGCCCCCCACCTTCCTTTCCCACCTCCCTCCAGGGAAGGTTAGTAGGTTTGGGCCAGTTGAATATACTGTGCCTGAAGCCAAAACATTGGTCACTAAGGGAAGAAAGAAAAGTGCTGGGAAGGCTGGTGGGCAGGTGGGGCCAGTTGGATATGCTGTCTTGAAGCCAAGGACATTGGCAGTGGCTAAGTGAAGGCAGGGAAAGGAAATCACTGGGAAGAATGTGGGGGTGGGCAGTCTGCCACCACCAAAGTCCTTGGCTTTTTTCAGGTCTCCTGAGTGAAGCATCTGTAATAGAACACTTGTAGTTTGAGTCTGTTTCCAGTCCAAACACTTGTGTTTTAGTCCAGAAATACATCATCCAAAACTATTTATTCCATGCACAGAACACTTTAAACATCCACATTTGTTTTCCCTTAGAAGCATTTAAGTTAACATCTAAGGAAGCATACTCCTCGATCTTGATGTATGTATAGTTCATTAGGGATTGGAAAGAATATGATAAATGTTATATAGAGCTGTCATAGAATAACACTATTAAATGCAAGCTAAATCTGTTCCAATGGGCAATATGCCTGATTACTACCCAGGGCCAGTTTGTTGACACGGGCTAGGAGTGCATTTAATTGCACCAGTTACACAGTATGTCACTGGCTGTTGGCACTGTACCAAAATGCCACAATTTCATGGCAACAAACAATTGTACCCCCTTCCAATAATCACAGGTTACCCACCAGTCAACAGTTGGTAGGCTGCAGGATGCCACATTTGCAGGTCAGTGTATTTTTGCTGCTGTTGGCAAGAGAAACCCAGTAATTTTGAGAACCTTTATGAGCGGAAATAACAACCTGTTTCCTCTTTCCTTCCAGCAAAAATCTCAAATTGAATTTCATTAGAAAGGGAATTGAATTAAAAATTATTGTGGAATGGAATGCTGTGTATAGTTTTGCTCACCATATCTCACTATTACAGAGCAGGAAAATATAGAGGAAAAGAGCAACCATAATGATTAGGAAGCTAAAGTAGCTCTCTCTAAAAGGAAAGATTGCAATATTTGGGGGTTTTAGTTTAAAATGAAGGTGAATGAGGGGATATGAGATCAAGATCAAGATCATGAATAGTATGGAAAATGAGGATAGAGATAATGGCTTCTCTCTCTCTCTTAATAACAGAATGCTAGATCTTCCATTAAAATGTATGCAGAAAGATCTAGCTATTCAAAATGCAGTCATTAAGATTAATTTAAAAAGTGCAGAATTACATTGTGGAATTTGCTATAATCAGATAGTATCATGGCCAGCATTGTGACCCATTTCAAAATAGGACCAGGCACGCTTACTGAGAAGAGAGTAATTTATCTTGATGGCAACATGCTACCTCCTTAATGTCAGGCTATGTGTTTTACCAGCTGCCAAAGAACAGTATCAGAAGAATACTATCCATCCATGCTCATGAGCTTCTAATATACATCTGATTGGATTTTATGGGCATAGAATGCTGTACCTGATGGGTTGGCCTGATCTAGCAGGGCTCTTAGGTTCTTCTTATAAAAGCAATTATCTTGAACGGGGGAAGGGAAGCCTTGTTGGATGTTTGTGATTGTTGTGGAATCCATGTTGACATAGACGTGGGCAGAATCAAAGACCTTTTCTTCATACTATGCCTATGGATGGTCCCCAAGAAATTGACTGAATCCAAAATTCAAGTGATGAAATATCTGAAATTCTCTTACCCTGAAAATAATTTCAAAGGTTAATATATACAGTATACTAACAAGCAGCTGTGTAATGTTTTGTTTTGGACAGTGTAAAGCAATCAGCGAGAGAGATGTGCTAGTTCAAGTAGCAGATTCAATTTGTGTATGTCTCTGCAAAGATTACATTTCAGATGTCACAGGAGAATCATGATTCATTTCACATTTAATTCTAAATACATGCTTTAATCTTTAAAACTGTCACAAATTTGGAACTGCTTTATGTAAAAGGACGAGTACATGTGAACTCTCTTGTTGTGTTTCCTTATTTTAGGGCTCAAAGAAACTAGTGAACACAATTCTGAGTTGTGCAGATGATTCATTGGCTGGAATAGTGGCTTGCAATCCTAATCTTCAACTCCTATGTGGACATAGAGTGGCACTACGTTCTGACTTAGAGAATATAGAGGGCAAAGTTGCACTTATTTCTGGAGGTGGATCAGGGCATGAACCTGCACATGCAGGTTAGTAGGATCAAGGTTATGATGGATGGTCTTCTGGAAAGCCTTTCAGTTTTGAATAGAAAGAAGTGAGGACATTATGTGACTTCATATGTATGGATAGGATAATCCGAAAACTTTATTACCACAGTTCTTATGCTTGGACTGGGATTCATTTTGTTGGTTTATGTTGAGCCATCAGTAGAATTGCAGAAAAAGCAAGATATTCCCAGTGCAGATACGATGCCATCCTGTCTATCATTTTTTCACAGGATACATTGGAAGGGGAATGCTCACTGCAGTGGTCGCTGGTCCAGTATTCACTTCCCCTGCAGTGGGTAGCATTTTAGCAGCAATTAAGTCTGTGAAACAAGCTGGAGCAGGTATGGCAGCATTTTTGGTGGACTGACATCCCACCTGGATAAGGAACAGAAGACAATTCAATTCTTCTCTCTTCTATAGTTGGGATACTGCTAATAGTGAAGAACTATACAGGAGACCGCCTGAATTTTGGGCTGGCATTGGAACAGGCACAGGCAGAAGGGACCTCTGTGCAGATGGTGATAATCGGTGATGACACTGCCTTTGCCACAAAGAAGAAGGCTGGCAGGAGAGGGCTATGTGGTACAGTGCTCATACATAAGGTAAGAGACATCCATCTTTGATTTGAGGGCAAATATTGTCATTGGCCATGATTTCACTGCACAACAGCAATCTCAAACTATGCATTCTGTTGAAAACTGTTAGATAATGCCAAGTACTTTGCCTTGTTCGTGCTTGCTGCTCATTGCATTCAGTCTTTAAGCATCAGTATTTGGTTACTGACTACTAGCTTTAGTTCTGAGAGTATGGAGAAAATTCTGTAAACTGTTCTGTGTAGATTTATAACTCCAAAGATAGAAACAATTCATAAAACATACATAGAACTTTTTTGCTTTGATTGTTTCTGCTGACATTTCTTATACTTACAAGAATTCATACATTTTTGAGAGTAGTCTTATTTCTTATTTTTAATTTATTTATTAAAACATGTGAAAAAGCGTAATGACTACAGAAAAAAGAAAAGTAATGGATATGGGAATAAAATGTCAGTAAATAAACAGGAAGTTTACAATTGTCATGAAATTGTCATGAAGCACAGTATTTCATTAATTGATTGATTGTATAGAGTTGAGTACATTGTATCATTTCTTAAAAATACAACTGCAAATCTTTATAAAACTCTGAACAAGATATTAATATCATCAATTATTTATCATTATTTTGAGCATAAATGCAGATAATCATATAAAAAAATTTTTAAAGAAAAATCATGTAGTTTTCTAATAATATTTTATTTATTTTCATATTTCATCTACTTTTTATATGAGCTCTTTTTTGCTTGAATGCAACTTAATGGTACATATAGTACATACAATACTGCACAAAAGTTTTA